TTTTCAAGCTAAATTCAAGGTGGCCTGAGACCACGGTTTGCTGCCCTGAAACACTCTGTTCAGGCCACCTTGAAAATAGAGGTGTATTTGGCACCTTGCTTGCAGCTACCAGGTATAGTACTTCAAGTTCCCTTTCCGTCAACCGCTCGATAGCCTCTACACACGCGCAGCAATCCACAGCTTTGAAGTCTCATTCGTGCTTTGAACTTGTGTAGGTGTGTAAGAGGTATAGCAACATAGTATTTATACGGACCCAGGCTAGCTTCAGAGCAACATGCAAACGACTATAGGATTAAAGCTAAACTAAATAAGCCACCTGCCTGACCTTAGTTTTGGGCACGTTCAAGGGCTGGATTCAATCTTGTGGGCATGCTTCTGCTTGCACCAGAGTGGTCGACTGTGGACACCTGAAGGGGACTCAGGTGAGGATTTGGAAGGTCAGTCAAGGGTCCATATGCAATATGTTTCCATAATCCAACCCTTAGGGTTTATAGGCGGTATGTCTAGGTGCACACTCCCCGAAATAAGCATAGAAGTGGATGGCATAGCCCCAACAGGTGGTTTTCCACTTCTATGATTAGTTCAATCGGTGTACACAGTGTACCCCTTGGACTTTTTGGTATCTCCATTGCTCACTGGCCATTTCTGAAGGTCTATCACACTTGTGGGTGCAATGATGAACCGGTGATGTCAATTATCGAGCACCCAGCAACAGTTGGTGAAAACCAGACCATAGGTAGGGTCATGCTCAACCTCAGTGGATCAGATCCAGTGTCAACCTGTAAAGCAAGTCCCGTTCATGTGGCCATGCTGCACTTCCCACAGTGAGACCTCCCATTCCATGTCCAACCGGACATTTTTGAAACTAATTCAAACCAAAATTGTAGTTCCTGTAACTCTTGACCTTTGCTCCAAGCATGTTACATGTGACGTTCAGTCCATTTCAGCTCAGTGTTTCAGAGGTGTTTCTTTTTTGGATCAAGGAATCAAGCAATGGACAATGAGTAAAGCAAGCTGGGGTGCTCTTGATGTGCAACACAGTGGATGCAGTGTACCATCCGCACTTGGCAAAGCACAAAAAACAACTGCACAGACAGTGGAAATAACATCGGATTCCATCCAAACCCCCCCCTGTGCAGAGGAAATTTCCGGGCAAAATGACACCGAATCCCTCAATTGCCAGGAAGCGCAGGTTTTTGTTTTGACATGGTTACCTCTGTGTGGGCAGAACAAGACATGAAGCAGATTTGACACGCGGCCGCAAGCAGCTGCGCGAGCTCATTTGCTTGCTTCGACGCGCAGTTGTCGAGAAAGGGAAGCGCTGGCTTTCGTTTTGCAGCTTCTCAGGTTTGGTTTCTTTTGCATGCTCGATTGGAGGCCATTGCTATTAGGTTGGAGGCCATCGCTACTAGGTGGAGGCCATTGCGATTAGGTAGTTTGCATGCTCGATTCTGCAGGATCTCCCAGCCTTCCAGACTCGGTGCTTCCCGGTCAAGGTTCCGACACAGGACGTGGAGATCCGGGTGGCGTAGCCAGCATTGGTGGACGATTTTTGGTCTTCTTGACATTTGCCAGCCTTTTGTGTTGAACACTGTTGAACATGATTATATATACATATATGTATTATATACATATCACATATCACACAATACGTATATATTATGCGCTGGAGACCCTTCCTTGGACATCGCATGAAGGGACACTGACGAGCAAGGGCTTGTGACCGACCCTGAGAAGTTATGGCCACTTCAGGGATGAACTGGTAAGAATTGTGATTTCTGCCCTTCACCACTCTCAAGACGGGGATTCAGCGTTTTTGAAACTCATCTTCAATCGGGAAGCAAGGGTTATTGTGCTGCACACCTGGGTCTTTGATCCTTTGGTTGGGTAGGTTGCAAGCATAGTGGTATTCCACACGACATACAGGCTTTGATCTATGTAATTGCTCGAGCTTACACAAGCAAGGTAAGTGGAGCGCAGCGCTTTCTCCAGAGCACAATAGGTTTGAGGTTCTTGGATGGGAATATGTCCAAGAACCAGAAGAATCAGAACATTGAGGTGAACACTTCCAATTCACTGGGTCTTTCATGAAAAATCTGAAGCCCCACCCAGGTGGCCGCCTCAGTGGTGGGCTTGGCTGGATTACCAGTGCTTAGCCATGGCGCCTTGGCGTTGGGACAAGCAAAGAGCCAGAGGGACATCGCACCGCTGTCTCTTCTGTTCTTTCTTTTGGCTGCTGTTGTTTTGTGCAGTGCAATATTATGTTTGAGATATACATGTTTTCAGTGTTTGTGCTTTGTCGAGCGCAAATGAATGGTGGCATCAAGAACCAAGGCAGATCCACAACACTTTGTTAGTTCCAAATGCACATTCAAAGGTTCCTGATGGAAGTACACTGCTGGTTGCGATCGAGATTGTAACTTTCTGCAACAGTTTGCCTGATGTTCAATATCCTCAACTGATTTCTTGTGAATAACTGAACGACTTTGGGCAAGTTCGGGTCCTCGATTCAGTCAAACAGCCCACAACGGTCCTCGTGGCCGAGGATGGGAGCCGACAAGGCACGCTCCAGCGGCTGCACCTCTACAGCTTGAAAGAACTATATATATATATATATATTTGTCTCAATATTTGTATGTAACAATACATACATATATATATATATATAAGAGTGTGGAGGAGACCTATTTGGCCAGAACCTTGCCAGGAAAAGTGAAGCAGATCGTTCAGCGACGGTTTAGATTTCGATCGACTGGACAGGCCGATGAACGCCTCAGCGACGGGCTACGAGACCGTCGACCAGGCGGTGGCAATAGGGTCAAGCTCCGCAGCTGGACACTGAGGTGAGAAGAATGGGGCAACTCCATTGGTGGGGGGGTCTCCGATTCACCTATCTAAAAGTAGGTCCAAGGGTTGTTGTACATTCCTTTTGAAGAGGTTGAGTAGTTCTGCAGGAAGCAGTCACTTGGGGAACCTGAGGACACCTCCATTTGCCATCTCTGTTGCATTTTCCTTGAGAAGTTTTCCTGGGAAAAATGTCGCAGACCTTCTAGAAGGTCCGCGGTTCTTGGGCTGCTGATCGCAGGTGGTTGCGAACACCGAGAAGAAGCCAAAGTACTTCTTTTGTGTGACCACTTTTTCGTTTCAAGGCGCGGAATTGATCTAAACAGCCTCCAGGCCGTTGCGCGTTTGTTCGGTCAACGTGCAAGACCCGTTTGAAGCTCTCTGGTATCGTTGGTGATACCATACAATCTCAGGTTTGTGTGAGGGCAACAGGCCGCAGAACAGCAGAGATTTGCGGATTTTAGATTGAAAGCCTCCTCTCCGCCTCAAGGCTGTGACTCCATGCTGACAGTGCTGATCATCACCGCCGAGGACTGCCGCGCAAGCAGGTTGTTCGGTAGGTCTCAGCATGACAAAAATCAATGTGGGATCTGATGACTTTCCTGCCAGGGCCACGAATGTGGTATCTTGATCCTGATTGGGTTCAACATGCTCAGTTGAAGAATGAAAAGAAGCTCGTGGGTTTCCATTTAGCCAAGCCCTTCTAGTTCCATGACATTTCCCGGAGCACTGCGTGGCTTTGTTAAGTCCAGTGCATTTGTCAAGCTTGTATCTTTTCCTTTAGAGCATAGTGGTCGGCAAAGTGGTTTTGCTTATGGCCTTTTCACCTGCTCCCCATACATTGCAGAGATTGTCAGGATGCACCACCTCCAGTTCAGCTGAGGCTGTTTGCGAAGCTTGCTGATGTGGAAAAACACATCTTGGCTTTGAAGGCGTAATTTTCTATCAGACCTATACCCCACCCAGCCACTGAACTGAGGCTTTTCATGCACAAATAGAGTAACAGTACCTCTGCCCGAAAAGGTTAAAGTATATAAGGTGCAACAAATTCGCCATCCTTACTTGAACAGGAAAGGGCTATATTCGGCAACTTTGCATGCGGACCAAACTAAACGATTGAAAGATGCGTGACAAGATCAGATTCAAGGGTGCCCAAGACGTTTTGCTGAACTTGAAGGCCCAATTTTCCATCTATTTGGCCACTTGGGAACAGCTCCGGTCTCAGCAAAGAGTACAGTTGAGATGAAGGCTGTGGCAAAGCTGTAGCACAGCTGATTTGCATCATCCACTGTTTTGCTGTCTCCTTCTATCACTGCTTGGATGATCAACGAGTGGATAGGTACCAACCAACCGGGTCATGGTACCAACCGGTCGGGGTCGGTACCAATCCCTCACCGATCCCGAACTCGAGGTACCGGTCCTTCAAGCATGGCCTTTTCCATCGAGGCGATGAAAACGCAACGTGTTGGCGCTGTAGGCCTTGGCCACCAGGCAACACTTTTTTAAGTGAGAACCATGAACACTTGATGGCCCCAAGAATCAAAAAAGGCCTCAAGCAGTTCTGGGGCTTTGACCAAACAATGACTTATAGACTTATAGTATCTTATAGTCAAACTTATAGTCACCCTTAAATAGAAAGAACATAAATCTACACAAACGCAAACAAGACGGTATTGCCTTTCGTGCTTCGATGGTGCTGTATATAGTGTCAGAACATGTTTTATTGATCTTCTTAAATTGCGACGGTTATTCTATGTGTTTCCCGGTATCCACTATTTTAGGGACAATCACCTCCGCTGGAGATTTGTTTGGTGATTGGTGCTGGAAGACATTTGGGTTATTCGTTCGGATCCGTCGCAGGTCTGTTGGGGAGGGCACCATCCACATACCTGAACTGGCATACCTAGGATCATGTATGGCCTATCCATTACCTGAACATTATGATCGCCATCCACGCATTCTGTCCACATGCCATGCCCAGAGGGCTTTTTTGGGTGTCTTTGGGTTCCGAGGTCACTGATCCCATGGAGGAGTCGACCCGATTTGCCTGGCGGGATCTAAAGGCTGAGAGGTGGCCCATGTTCGACCTACCGGACCGGCATCGCGACACGAACGGATCAAGGGGCGCTCCTGGCCTTACTACGAACGTCGCAAGAAGCTACGAGCAAGTAGCTCCTGCCCTTGTTACTAGCCCGAAGGATCCGAACTCCTTGTGGGACATGAGTTCCGTACGGAGTAGAACACCTTGGCTCAACGAGGTTTCGGTTTCAGTGATAGTCAGTGGCCCAACGGGGCCTGGATGTCTCCAAAACATGCACCAGTCCTTCACAGTTGTGCATCAATTGATGGTACATGTAGGGGTACGGACCGATCAGCCCATACACCAAAACACTGCCAATTGGTTCACCACACATCCAGACTCCCTGACCTCCAAAGCCTAAGCAAGTCGAGGGTGGCCGCTCTGGCCATGGGCTTGCCTTCCAGGACACTCGAATCACTGCCGTCCCGCTGAGTGGTGAAGTGGACGCGAGCGTCTGAGATCAATGGTGCCGAGCGTCAAAGGGCGGTCGAGCTGGAATTCCGCAGATGGTGTGAGGGTTTCGATGGCCTCCCCGAAGTTTTCAGCCACTTCCACCGCCAAAGAGCAGACGAAGAAAGACAGCCCTCCGAGATTCTGCCCAGGTGGAAATCTACTATCGAAACTTCACCGGCTGCAGTGGTGGAGCCCTAAACGGATTCTACTGGAATTCAGGGACTTGTTTCTTGGTGGTAGAGTCCCACTAGCCAAGTATCGATCCCATGTGTGGCCCTGTGTGCACCTAGGCACTCCGATCAAAGTCTCCAAAGGCATCAGCGGACCTGGAGTTGCCCTTCTCGACGCGCTTGATTGCTGTTGACGACCCGGGGTTTTGTTTGCTGAAAGAAGCTCATTGTGACATGCTGCCAGGTGGATATTCATCAGTCGGAGGGATTTCAGGAAAATCTTTGCATCTTGGTGAAGGGTCAAGGGGTAAGGCCCTCAGTTGTCGTCTATCTTTTCCACGATTTCGACTGTGCTTTGACGGGTGGCAGCTCAGGTGTTCTCCCTCACAGCCGGGCCGCGGTTTCAAGGGCCTTTCTTGGTACCAGTCCAAGGCTCAGTGGATGGGATTTGACACCCTCTGAACCCCTCCTCCTTCGACTCGGTGGGGTGTCTTGAACCTGGCAATGCGCCAGAATCGAAGTACTCTTTCAATTTGAAGCTGCTGTCAAAGTTCATGCACGCCCAAGCAGTTCCAGCCTCTGGCAAGGATGTGCCCTTTGCAGGCAAGGCAGAATAGGGTTGGAAGAGATGAACTAGTCTTTTGTGGCAAGACTTGAGAAGACCAGGTAATTTGGTGTACAGCAGACGAGCACACACACACACATACACACCACACGACTGGCATATGTGTGGGAGAAGCTCCAGGGGCTCGGTCCTCATTAGCCATCAGTCGCGATCTTCGGCAGAGCAAAACCAGGTGTGTAGCGTACCAGGTGTGTAGCCCAGACCTGAATTCTGCTCAGACTGGAGGCCTTTTGGGCAGTGCTTGCGAGAGGACCAGGCACCGGTCGACTCGTCCACTCCGGTCTCGGACCGACCAGGCACCGGCCGATGTCCCAGGATCTGGGTGAACAATGGTACTGACATCACAGCGAGGGAGCTGAGCTGCTTTTGTTCGCATTTGACCTGGTGTATATTTTCCTCAAAATCTGGATGGAGCAAGTGTGTAGTGTAGACTCCCAAAGCTCTGGTTTGGAAGTGATCTGTCCACGTGTCCCAAGGTTACAGTGGCTGCTGACGATGCCTCAGCTCTGGTCTGAGTCTGAGACCGGCCGCTCGTGATCAGGCACAGAGTCGAGTGGCATCGGTTTGCCTCTCACCACCAGTCGTTACTTCCTTGATTCTTCCTTCAAAGGAGGCAAGCTTTATGAGGGGACGAAGAGTCTTGGGCAGCTCATTCCCGATTTCAGAGGGGTCTGGTCACCTCCAGCGCCTCGCAGCTAGACATGGCGTCCGCATGGTTCGATGCGCCCAGACCTTGTCGGCCATGCTGAGCAGAGAGATGGAGGAGGTGCGGACGGTGCGGACAGCGGTTTGTGGAGAGATGGTTGTCTCGTTGAGGTGCTCCGTTCAGCTTATAGAGAAAGGCAAGAAGCAACCCAGAACATGGAAGTACTGACAAATCTTTACAAGAAACAAGCCCGAAAACCCATGTCTCTTGGGAGCATTGTAATTGAATGTGGCCTTTGCAGTGGAGTGGATCGTGTGGCCTCACAAGGTCATTGGGATCCACCGACTTCGCCTCTCAAAGACTTGGGTTAAGCAACCGATGCGCAGGAAGATCCAGCCAGGTCTTTGGCTAGTAACAAGTGCATCGCTACTGTCGTTACTAGCAAGCAGGGCATGGCTACTAATAGCAGTTGCCTGTTTGCAGAGTCTGTTTTGCCAGTCTTGCAGGCTTCGATCAAGAGCAGATGGAAGGGGCTCGTTCCTCCAGGTGCCAGCGACAATGTGGGTGTGTCTGGTGCGATGGTTCAATATTCTATTCTAGGGGGTCGATTCTGGGTTTTCTTGAGACAAGACTATGCAGAGAGACTGATGCCAACCACGAGAGGTTCCCTTGCAGAAACACAGCAAGATAGACAATACGCATACTCAAAAAGAGGTCGTTAAAGGGACAGACTCCAGAGGATTTGTTTGTTTCCTGCTCCAAAATCAAACAGCTTGATGAAGCCAATTTGCTTTCTTACACAAGCAAGAGGTTCGGGCGGGCCCCTCTTGTGAAGAAGCATGAGTTGCCCTTTTGTGAGGGCACAAAAAGGATTTGGTGATTTGCTGATGAGATTCCATGTGTCACGTCAGGAAATGGTCGGCAATGCGACGTGATGGAGTGATGGAGTGAATACCAAAGGTCCTGATTCTGTGGGACACCGGGGCTTTATGATCCAGAATGTAGATCTGCCCAAGAGGTCAGCTTCATGGAGGGCAACACATCCACTGAAGGCTTCCGACTTGAATCTTCCAAAATGGCCTTGCTACGTTCGTAGCGATGGCCTCCAAGCTAATAGCAATGGCCTCCACCTACTAGCTTCTTGTTACTAGTAGCTTGGGATGCCAAATCATCTCAGCTCAGGTGGAAGTGGTGCTGCTCTTGTGATCAGTGGTCCTCCTGCCACCATTGAGCGTGGTTGTGTGACCCTGTCTCCAGTGCATGATTGCTTAGAGGGAAGTGGGACCAGCCTCTGGATTGGACTGGAATTTCAAATCTTGTGAGACTGAACAGACACGGTTCGAAGCTAGCCCATCCACCCCAACGTTCAACAACTACAACAGTTATACAACAGTTATGTACAGCTCCACCAGGGCGACCACTGATTTTCGAAGAGGATTTTCTTTTCTGGCTGCTAGGTGAGGGCCATAATCATATTAATATGAAGTTCCCAGACATGCTGGAATGACACGTTTCCAAATACACCCAGTCATGCCAAAATCATGAAAGGCACAGACGTGGCAGACGTGGAGCGGTCCTTAGGACTCTCCAGAAAAGAGGCGCGATTGCCTGGTGCGCAGTCATGGCAGATTTGAAGAGGACCATCCAACAGTTCCAACCTAACTGAGAAGGGTTTGACATGTCTCGTTTTGACATGTTTATTGATTCCATACAACGGATGTGCTGCCGTGCTTTCTCATTTCCAGGTGTATTGGCCCCTCAGTTCTCACGATGATTCATCCAGCTCGATGCATGAGCTGGACGGATTGGTGTCATGTCGCGTTAGACGCCCGCCACCAGGTGGCGGTGTCTCTGTCCACCTGCCGCCAACCCGATCCTGATGAGGCGCCACAGGCGTGCGACGTCCGGAGGGGAGCATGGGGGGGAATCAGCGCTTCTGCAAGTTTCCGCGCCGAGTGAAGACGCTCCAAACCATCATGGCAGATGAACATGTTAAATATCAATCTCCTGATTGCACTCAACATAGCGATGGCCTCCAACCTGATAGCAATGGCTTCCTGATAGCAGGGCCTTGGGGGTTTCACCTGGTCTATCTTTATCGTGTGCGGAGGACACCACATACTGGATCACCTCTGCGACGCAGACCGGTGTCGTCACCCTGCAGGCTGTGAAGGGTCACGGTTTTGGGATTTTGGAGGTGGAGGTGTTGCCCAAGCACCTGTGACGCAGAGCGTTTTCTGTTCAAGACTGAGATCATTTTCAGGATCATTTTGCTTCCATGTGAATTAGCCACACTCGTTCGCTTTGCCAAAGCAGCTTGACGAAAAGACCACCGTTCCATTCCGTTCCGTTCCGTTCGTGTCGTGAGGATGGGACTCCGGCTCACACCTTTGTCGCGAAGGCAGAACTTTGGGTAAGGACATCAAGGATCAAAGTGGACTTGAGCCAAGAAGCCACGAACGGAGCATTTCGGGCATCGACACGAACGGAACCAGAAGCTACGGACGGGGCTCCTGGCCGTACTACGAACAGAGCTATCGGACGCTACGAACGGAATGACTCAGACCAGGTAGCTCAGAACGCTGCTTCGGCGAGACCGGAGCGCCTTGCGAGCCCTTGTTGTCATCCCATGAAGCGAGCGACCAGGCCTTGTGGAGGGATTTTCGTGTACTCATCAGTGGTGGCAAGGTCACAAGCTCAGCGGTTTTGGATTGATCCCCGTGCCCCCAAACCCTGTCTTGCACGTGTGCACATTGGACCCAAGCTGGCAGATCAAAAGATCACAAAACAGCCGTGCAAAGCCACTCACATTCTCTGAGAACTATTCATTTTGCGTTTGCGAGACTCTGATTTCAGACCTTTTGGCTTAGGAGATCACTGCAGTGGCCTCGGCCCAGATGGGCCAGCTGACATTGGTGGCGGACACCGTGCGACATCCTCTTCAGCCAGAGCGCTTTCGGTGGGTCCGGAACTCGGCTCTCTCATGTGCCGCCCGAAGATGGGGGTTGGGGTGCCCTCTGGAGGGAACTGAGTGGTCGCATTGACGTCATCTCGACTCATCCTGACTCATCCCGACGCCAGGCTTCGAATGGCAATTCATCCCGTGCGGCCCATGGCTCAGTGAGACAGGACAAGTAGTAGAGAGCCAGGGAAACAACATGTGCTGTGCCGGGTCAATGGAGGTTCCCAAGAAATGGAGAACGGGAGCGATTCTCAAGACATTCTCCAAGGAACTCTCGATATTCCACTTCTGTGGGATTTGGGTAAAGTGCAGCACAGATGTAGAAAATTGTAGACATTCCAGGCAATTCCCAGGTTTTTATCCAAGAGGCAGAAAGGAACACCTGCATTGACCCAGGTACTCCACCTGACTACGGACAAACAGCTTGTGAGCAGTGAGGTCAGGAGATGTTGGGCTTGTAGAGGTCGGGCCTTAGGGGTGCATGTCTGGGATTATGATTCGGGTGAACATCACCCAAGGCCTATATAGGTGAACAGCATTGGTATGCAAAGCTTCCTGAAAACCAGGCCATTGTATGTTTTTGTAGGAGGAATTGAGAAACTCACACGTAGTGGCAGTTTGCTTGGCAACCTTGAAGTGCTTTTCATGGGCATGTAGGTCAAGGCCTAAGGGTGACAGGCCTAGGGTTGAGGGCAAATGTCAGCAATCCGCATGATGTGCTTGACAACACCAGGTACATTTGGTGGACTGTCGCCTGCCTTGCTTTCTTTATTTGTCTGCGCATGTCTCTGCCAGTGGCCCAGATCCCTTTGTTTGAGGCCGCTTCCGAGAAAGTGAAGAGTTGCAAGGAGAGTCACGCACGAAACACGTAGGGATGAGAACAAGCTTCTCTCAGGTCAGCTAAGTCCAAAAAGTGCATCTATTCAAAAGTGCTTCTTTTCAAAAGTCGAAGTCCTGATGACGCTGAGGCCACTGGTGACGAGGAGCTTCCAATCAAGGCGGCCCTTCTATTCTGGCACTACAAACAAGCTCCAAAAGGAGTGAACCAACAAGACTTTGAAGGCTTGACAATTTTGGATGGCAAGCACTCAGTTTTACGTTGTTTTCATTGTTTAGGTGCACTGGTCGGTGAATGAAATAGAGAGGAGATCACCAAGTTCAGATGCTATTGGTGGCCTTTCGGTGGTTCTGTGAGGGCTTTCGGCATGCTAAGATTGATCAGACCAGAAGTGACAAAAGCTAATTATATAGGTTCGGTTGAATGTATGTGGGCAGGGACATACAGACCGGTGGATGCAAGAGCTACCCGTGACAACCCTGCAGTGGTGGATGGCGCCAAGTTGGCACTGGCCTGGAACAAACCGGTTTTGGCAGCTGCGAGACTCTGCGCAGCCTTGTTTGCTGCCAGCAGCGCGCTGCTTGCTAAAGCACTGATGGCTTGTTATTACATTTTTGTTTGCACTCCAATCATCCAAGTGTCATTTCATTCACCTTTTCATGCACTCGGGTGCTGACTCAGTCCATGTGCGTTGCTTCCCGTCTCAACCTCTCCAGCCGTCGCTTCTTTGTCGCTGCGAGCCAACACGACGACATGATGCCGATGCCAGGTGGTGGTCAGCTCAGATCTCCGAAAGATTACGAGACTACCGGAGGGCGACGAGCTCGAGCAGCGCTTGATGCCCAAGCAGTCCAAGGCAGAATCGTGACGAATCCTGCTGAGTAGCTGTGGTTGGGTGGTGGGGTAGCCTTGTTAGCCCCAGGTTATGACAAATTGCAGAACATGGAGGGCACATGAGGGGCATTTCTGTTTGCTCAGCACCCATTGAAGAGGCAAATTTAAATCATGTCCCCCTTTCTTCCGTTTGCTTTTGGCGATGACAAATCAAGAGTTTGGGTTTTTGAGCTGAACCATCTACTGTAAGTGACACAAAGTGATTTGACATGACTTGACGTCTCTTCAGTCCTTCACGAGCTGAAAAAAGTCATCCTTTTACCTTTCTTTCACCCGTTGACATCGGCCAGACCTATGAGTACTTTCTCCGCCGCAATGACACGGCTGCGGTGATCTCGGACCTTTGGCGATAAAGGGATGATCAGACATCACTGGGTGAGAAATTGGGACGCATTTTTCAGCTCGTTTTCAGCAGGTGTAGTCAAAACATGGACATAGTATGACATAGTTTATGTGATGGAGAACAGAAGGTTTAGGACTCAAATCCACTTCGGTACTTTGGTACTGAATTCGGGGTTGAATGTGGAAGTCTGAGTAGGTTTTCATTTTTGAGGGCAAGAGTGGACACAGTAACTCTTGACCTGTTGCTCAACTGCATCATGTCTTTAGGGGATCCTGCCCCCCCAAAAGACACTCCGTGGTGAAAGCGACCATAGCCGAATTTTACACTGACCCTAGCCGCTTGGAAGATCAATTACCCAGCCCAGTTGGGGGATCCCTTGAAGGACAGTGCGAACCTCTTGAGGTGACGAAGAAGACTGGAGGAACGAGCTTTCGCGTGTCCTCCACGTGGGGTTCCCGGAGGAGACTGTCGCAGACGAGACGGCGGAAAGACGAGACGGCGGGGGTCCATCCAAATCATTTGGATCCTTGATTTTGTTTCACAGGCCTGAGTGCTTGGGAACATCCTGACCACCAAAGGGTCCGCTGCAGTTGACTGGTTTTAACAAGTATCGTTGTGTTCAACAGCATTCCAGATACATATGATTTGGGTTTGTCCTATTACCTGTAACAGTCAGTAAACAATTATCACTATGCTTGAACAAGGCCTTTACTAACCATGTGATATATGTTTATATAATCCCATGGACACATCCCACTTCGCAAAGGCCGGACTTCTCACCGGGCCCCGCAACCACCGCGCGGTGCGCCACAGCTCTCTGAGCGCTCTTGTATTTTCTTCATGAGAGTCGTGCTTTTCTTTCAAGGACCGGTTTGGAGGGTTTTGGAGGTGGAACCTCCGGTGGTGCTTGGACAAGTCTACAATCTACATGACATGCACCCTAACGGACCCTGCTTGATGCTTTTTCAGTGCCTGTTGTTCCATACGTTCCATTTTGTCACCATTTTTCGGCCTCGGCCTCGGCTTCTCTCGCTTCATGCGACCTGCTCAGGGCAGAGGCCGTGATTTTGCTCGAGGCGACCTCGGCACCCTTCATGTCGGCGGTGCAGTGCTGAGGAGTTGGAGAGTTCAGTGAGTTCTGAAGATTTGGTGAGACATCGTGAAAGCCGGTGAGAAACGTGGCACAAGAGGCATAATACTTGGACATGGATATGTTTTGACCTTCCGGACCCTTCTGATGTTTCCTTTGTCCCTCAAGTTCTTCGCTGGAATCCTAGGTTGGAAGCAGCCAAAATCCAGTGCAGAGCTCAGCCTTAAAAACAAAGGGAACAGCATGCAGGGCTGCGGTTCTGGATCCCACATGCAAGGCGAGGGCGAGGAGAGTTGGCATGCTCTTTTGTATATTCTTGGTGACGATTTCAGCTGTGAAATTCTGCTTTGATTCAACGCCGGCAATTGTGCCATTTGCATGTTCCAACATCAAACTATTTGGGTACCCAGGTACCCTGCCTTCACTGCAGGTGTTAGACTTGTTTTTGACCGCACCCCGAGTGGGTTTCTTATCGTCTGCAGGTCCTCTATGTGCGCATCGACAACGACGCGCCAACGTCCAGCAGCTTCCTGGTCTCTGCGCGCTCGGAGGATGGATGCAGTGGACGGATCAGTTGAGGATCACATCGGTCGAAAAGGAGGAAAGAAACATCCACTGGACGCCAGTCAGCAAGTCTCCTGACGCCAGCCACTGCAGAACGCTGGTTTTCTGAGCTTGTTTGGAGGGTTCCATGTCTCGTTCTCAAGCGGTGTAGATGAAAACCAGCGATGTTTCGCTAGACCCGGGTCCCGCTATTCACGACCGGTTTTTTCCGTGGCTTGGACAGGGTCATGCGAAGTGGCTCTACAACGGGGTGCCAACACAAGGTGCCAACAAGGCGGCTTGCTGACACGTCCCATCTGAACAAATCTTTCTGGGGGTGTTTTTCTCCTTCTCTCCAGCAGCATTGAGAGGCAACACAAACTAACCCGGTTGCTCTTTGCAAAAGACAACCTTTCAAATCTTTTGGTTCCGATTCATGCAATCTTGGTCCAACTCTCAAGGATTCTCATGTTGCAGTATATGTCTGAAGTTGCCCTTGAAGGCTGCGGGGCGCTATGACAGATATCGCTTTTTCGTCTCCTTGCCCTGTTTTGGATGCAGAACCCGATCCAAGTCCCTCTGTGAACACGGAAACATCCCGTTGCCTTGGTCTATCCAAAGAAACGCACCTTGGGTCAGGTTGTTTGAGAACACAGCGATTGATTGAACTGATGTAATGTGTCAGAACAACGCATCAACCAATCAACCATGAGGAAACCTGAACTTCGGGGTTCTGATTGCTCCACTTTGCTTGCGTACAAGGAGCTGAGGGTGAATCTTGTTGAAACTCCAACCGGCCAAATCGGGCCAGGTCAGCCCCTCTGAAGCTTTGGAGAACTTGACGGTCACCATTGAGGCTGCTGTTCTGAGTGGTTTGAAAGACTTGCCTCGAAGAGCATAAAGCATAAAAGATCAATGGCACATCTTACAACCCACCGACATGTTGGAGCAATAAATAGGTCTTGATCGTGGTAGCTCCAAGCAATGAGTTCTAGTTTGCTTTTTGTTTCAGATTTTTGAGCACGTGAGGTCGCTCTCCACACAGGGTCTGTGGGGCTCTTCGCAGCCTGCGATCCCATCAAGTGCGACATCCGTTTTGGAGGCGGAATGGCCTTTCTTTATGGTTTTCCTGTTTGACCATTTCTTAGAAATTCTTCGGTATACATATCTTTCAAACAGCTCAGAGAAATCGGGCCCAGAAACCACTAGGCAGAACAGCTTTTCGTTGGCTTGGCATCAGCCCCAACGTTGCAAAACCCTAACCTTTGGCTCAGCCTACGTGCGATGAGACACCGGTGAGACTGCGTCCTTTTTGTCCTGTTTCAGAACTATATACATTCGTGTCTCAACCTTTCCGGTTTGACATGTTGCATTGAGAGGAACAAGTGAAGAAGCATGTGAAACAAGCTGTGCGAAAAGGCCACATATGATTGCTGTCTTTGGCCGCTGCGTGTGCCTTTTTTTGGCTCACGGCTCACTGTCAAACCATCAAGCCATCCGGCATGAGTCTCACTGCTCTTATCAGAGGCGGGTGCAGCTGTTCAACAGTTTTTCATGGCAGGCCTAGGATGTTATGTACCCCTTGCTTGCTTGATTTTCAGGTGGGCAGGACAGGTGAATCTAAATTCCTAAGCACTCAGTGGCTTCCTGTGTGTTGGGCTCTACGCCTGATATTCCCTGATGGAAGGTGTTTTGCTGTAGTCGAACATGCCACCCAAAATAGTGGGTTTCCTTTTTTGCAAAGACAATTTTTGCTTGATCCTGCCAGATGCATGGTGAACCAGGGCTGCATGGCGTCTCTTGGCCACCCAACCTGGAGAAGGTGCTCTGTGCGTGGTTTGGAACAGCACAGCGCCCCAACCAGCGCTTTGCAATGGCTGGCCGCTGTTGCGTATCTTTGTATCTTGGTCCAGTGGCTGATGTTGTAGTCAAGTGGACTACACATAGCAGGTTTGCTGTTTGGGTCACGGCCGCCCAAGGCATCTTTGGGAAACCCAAGAGTTGGGAACCGGATCTTTTTGAGCATGGGAGGCGACAACTATGAGACGCAAAGACTTCCAATGCTTTTGATCTTTTTTTTGATGTGTATATATACATATTATATTATATTATATTATATTATATTATATTACAATATAGCTAGATATGTTATGTTATTGACACTATATATACATATGGCCGGCCAGGGCTGGATGGTTTCTGACTGTCTCGATGATTCTTCACCCTGCATGGGGAGGCAGAGATTCTTCACCCTGCCAGGCCGAGAAGCTGTGCCTGCGGCGCAAGCTGCTGCCACTGGCGCGGCCGGCCGGGCGCCAAGAGACCGTTACCAAGCTGAGTAGCACTAGTGACTCTAGTGGTCCTGGGCTTTCGAAGTCAACCAGCATCTAAGGACCTAGCGGACCTATACTAGACCTAGCGTTTTTGGAGTGAAGAGGCTGAAAGTGGATGAGCTTTCGGGTGAAGTTGAGACAGGCTTACAGTGCATGGAAGTGCAACCCTCGAACACCAGAATCACAAGTTTCCACAAGCAACATTCAGACGCAAGCTGAATCAACAAGAATCAACAAGTCGATGGAGTCCTTCGGCAGCCGGCCAAACCGATTTTGGATGTGATGCATGACCGATTGGACAAGGGACAGGAACTGTTTTACCCAGCGTTTGCATGTCACAGTGGCACAGCGTATCATTGGATCAAGCTCATACTACGTAACGAGCTGTGGGTCCCATTCAGATTGATGGCCATGATAGTGCAAGAGCTCAACCAATTCACACAAGAATGTGGAGAGGTTCTGATATTCACACCACTGCAATTGGAACAAAGAAAGACACCGTGTCCCAAGAAAAATGACTGCTCGGTACAAGAATGCAAGAATGCTTTCGTGCTTTTGTTTTACAGGAGCTCTTTCTAACTTTTCTCCGCTAACTATTTGTTGGTGCTGTGACAGGACCTCTTGTCCATCATGCCTACTGTGCTTAGACCGATCGTCGTACAGCACCCGACCCAACTCTACACCGCAGAAGAGTGCTTGGGATGGCTGCGCTGGTAGTTCACATTCCAAGCATAGCCAAGAGAGTCTAATGTAGACTCTTGATTAAGAACCCCCACAATTGAATTGGACATCGTGACATCCTCTTCATACGGGGGGTTTATGAATCAAGAGCCTACATTACTTGAGGATCTTCACAACACTGTCTGGTTCCCTCCCATCGGGCCTCAAATGAATTAACCGCCCTGACGGTAGCTCTCATCGTTCTATCCACTAGGCTGAGCGCGTAGCGCTCTCGGATGCCCAGCGGCTCCCGGCGGTGGAGCTGGACGTGGACGGAGAGCGGGCCGACGGTGCTCGCACGTTTTGGCCGCCTGGGCCTCGGACGCTTGGGAACACCGCTGGGGCCGGTGGGGTAGGTTTTGGGCTAAAGCAATGACCTGGATGGCCTGGGAAAGAGGAGAAAGGTTATATGGACTCAGAAAGGGGGGCACAGATCCAAATGGTCTTAGGTTTTATGATAGAATTTGTCTCCCAAGTCGTGTTTGCCTGATTTGCAGGCCTCAACGGCCCGTGGGGGACCCTAGACTGTGATGAGATTTGTCACTTCGTTGGTGGTTTCCTCAGTGACAGAGGAGGTCCTGCAAGAGATGGAACTTCGTCAGAAGTGCTTCGGAATATCCACAAGTCCTTTTGCATGTAGCCTATCATGCAATTGTCGCGCGTTCCACCGCGGGTGACGGCCCCGGCTGTTGCTCTCAAATCCAGAGGCGAGACCACCCACTGCCGAGCGCACACGAGCCCTTGCAGCCTCTTGGCCTCACTGAGCTGGCCTGGACCCATTTGAGGAGGAAGACAACGGCTCTTGGGAATCGTTTCACTTCAAATCGTTTCACCTGTAGCAACAAGAAGCTTTTTAGATTTTAGATCTTAGTATGCCTTTGAAGCTTCTTAGTAGCAACAATTGCCTTTGAAAGACACCCATTTGAGGTGGTCTCGTTTCCAGCACGACTTCAGCTGCGAGGGCCTGGAGAGGCTCACAAGCCTTTTTTGGTGGCAGGAACAACTGGGAGATGGAAGTTGTTTTCGAGGGCGATCAAGGTCCCTCTGTCCTCACGATCAGATTCTGTACTTTGATGCGTTCGTTTGTTTGTGCCCTTTTCACTGGTCTTCTTTGCTTCCTTTCAACATTGTCACCATGAGCTGGAGTGGAGTGCACGTCACGCCACATGTGCTTTGCTCTGGAGGCACCTGGCCCTCCTGGCCCATTCTCTGCTCCTGGGAATCTGGTCGGCTCCTCCGGGGGTCTGGGCAGCTGCGCGGAGGGTTGGGGAGAGACCACACGCGACCGCACGACCGCACGCACGGGAACCGCGGTGCAAGGAACTCTGCACCACCGTGGTTTAGAGCTTTTTCGCTTTTCGTGTTCATCCACCGGTGTTTGGCAGAGCTTGAAGTTGCCATTTTAGATTCGGTTTCATAAGTCCCCTTTGGTCCCCCAAAAAGACTACAATCCTGCTCCTCCAGGTGCTGACGCTCGACACGCAAGATGCAGTCGGGTGTCCTGGCGCCTGAAGTTTGCAAGGAGAAAGCTTTGGGAAGTGGCAGCTTTTCTATGAAGAAATCAGACTCTGAAACTGCAGGACTTCGTGCATTGTTTGGAAATGCTTCCATCTCCCAGGTCTTTGTTCGTTTGTCAGCTCAAGCAGCTCAGGTCAGAGAGTTGGTCTCAGCTTGTGCCCAAGGCAAAGCTGAAATCATGGATGGCACTTGCTGACGCCTCAGCTGAGCAGACGCCTTGCTGATGCCTGGTGAGTGACTCACTTCAGGGACCTGAACTGAAGACAAACGGTGCCCGTCATTTTCATGGGAAAGCTCCACTACCTATCATCCAGAATGCAACATCCCTCCATTGATGAGGTGCACCTTAGCAGGAAGAAACGCACTCTCAGACTCGGTGTACAAGACAGTGCATTTGCCGACTTTCTAAAGCTTTTGGTTCCTTCTTTTGGACATGGATCATGGACATGCATGGAACTGCAACGCCCTTCAGTTTTGCTGCTCTGTTTCCAGTGCGTCCTCCGCCCAAGTCCACCACCGATGTGCTTTCCACAACTCAGGCCTCACCGCCTGGACGGCAGCGCAGCCTCCAGAGCTGGAGCCCCTCACGGCACGGAGGTGCATCGGGTGGGACTGAGCTCAGCAGCTCGGTCGGTCGGAACAGGAGCATTTCGGACGCTACGAACATAGCTCCTGGCCTTACTACGAACGGAGCAAGGTTCGCTACTAGGAACAATTGGCTTCTTTTCTTTTCCGAGAAGAATACAACACAAAGTCACCGAGCAACGTCCCAAATCTGCTATATACAGGCTTTTGTTCTCCGAAATCCTTTCTTGTGGTGCACTCACAATGACCTCGTGCAGGTCTGACATGGAAAACCATCTTTTCAATAGAGAAAGATAGCCTCCTCCAGGTCCATCTTCCACTTACAAGTCAGTCACGTTGAGTGTTGATGAGGTGGGAGCTGCGCCCACTCAACCAACCGGACTGTTATATACCCAAAACCGCAACGGCCAACCGCTTGAAACCGACTCACTCTTCCCAGGATCGAGCGGACGCTGGCGGTGGAACCCATTGAACTCGTGGCTGAGCGCCAAGGCTGACGCCTTCTCCGACGTCGAAATCTACAAATCGGATGTCGCTGTTCCTGTCTTTTGACGTTGAACCTAAGGAATTGTTGGTTCAAAAGCATTGATTGATGCACTGCGTTTTATGGTTCACGATGGCGAAACTGCCTTGGGAGAGAGCAGGTTTATGCTTTGATGTTTGTACTCCAGTCTCATCTCTCCAGGAGGGAAGATGAGATCAAACAACCCTGGTTCGTGTGGCCAGGGCAGCGTATGTTCCAGATCTCTTCGATTGGCCGGGTTGATGCACCAACCGGGCCTGCCCCACAGGTGGCGAGGGCTCCTCAGCTCAAGTGCTCCGCTACGGCGAGGGCTTTCGCCTGCGGGCAGCTGGCACAAGGGGGTTGTACTTGGGCACCTTGGATGCAAGGAACTCTGTTGGAAGGTTGGCACGCAGGCCTGTTTGGCACGCAGCTTGGGTAGGCTCACCACATCAACTGCCGGTGAAACCGCGGTGCTTACCGTGTTGAGACAAAGTCCCTACGCACGTGAGGCCACGAGGGTGTGGGCACCTGCTGGAAGTCCGCCCAGGCGGAGCAACGAGCAACGCATCGAACGAGCAACGTGACACGTGTTGATGCCGTGAGGACCTGGCCCCACCGAGAGGGACGCGCTTCGCAGCGCATGGTGGAGAGCTTGGAGCGCCTCGGCCGTGGGGGCGGATTGGTGAGGAAGATCGGTGTGAGTGATCTGTGACGGTTTGAAGTTTTTGAAATGCCCTAGTAGCTTCTTGTTCCTAGTAGCGATGGCCTCCACCTAGTAGCGTCGTTGCTACTAGTGAGTGGAAGTTGCATGACTGGAAAAGATGGCAGAAAAATACAATGCTTGGTTTGGAGCATCTTTGTTCAACAGCCGCAAGTAAGGGTGTCCGCTGGGTCTGACCCTCAAGCTTGAAAAGGATGTACAGTATCTTTTGGTTTATACCCCCCATTCGCGGACCCCCAATTATCAGATCGCCAACCGAAGCAAGGCAAATCAGAACATGCCTGGCGAACTGTACTTTTGTGATGCTAGGTTGCTCTTGAGTGGTCCAGGCTACCATCTCTATTCCATACTTTGCTCTGTGACACTTAGACTTTTGCTTCTCACTTGTGGCCTTTCCTTTACACAATCCGGGGTTTTGGTTTCCCAGGCGTACGCACGTGTGACGTCCTGCTCACTTTCGTGTCGACAGAGCCAGACAGAGCCATGGGTTGTCAACACCCTGTGTGCACGGGTGCAGTTTGGATCAGTTGTCACAGGTCCAACGAACTGTTTGGTCTGCACGCTTGATACGCAGATCCCACGGGTTGTCCAAGGCACCTCTTCAGTTTGGGCGCCCCGTCTCGCTACGGCGGGTGTCGATGGCTCAGCATGGTTCGCAGCAATTGGCTGTAGAGTCATCTGCTATGAAAGGGTACACGTAGGAAGGTTTAGAACAGATCTGAGTTCATGCAGTTGGTGACATCTCTATCTACCCGTAGTTTCGCAGTTGAAACCATGCTTCAGATACACAGGAAGTACTGCGAGGCCTTCTCCGCCTCCATCTGAAGCAGACAGCGATCTGGAATACTCGGATGACGAAGCAGGGAGGTGCGGATCTTGACAATTTTCAACTAGAATCCAGATTTCCATCATTCAAAAGTTGGAGCCCGACAAGTTCCATACCTTCGCCATTCTTTGCCAGTCCCTCCACACAAGAGAAGCTGGTGGGCGAGGAGTGCCGTGTGTTGGGGTGGTTTTGGTGCATCTGTTGCATGTGATTTGTTTGCGATTGAACTCCTGCGCGGATGACACAGTTCTTCAGGAGCCCAAAAGCACGAGCTCATCTCCTTTACTGCCAGAATCAGCTGGGTATGTGAAGGACACGGCTTTTGGGTCCGAGTGTGTTCAGAATTCCTTACCACCAGTTACAGTTGAAGCTTTTCAAATGTGCAGGAGGCGTTGTATTCTCGTGCTGCAGACAAGGTGGGCAATCGGAACAAGCATAATCCTTGATGTCTTGTTTGACCATTTTGCGACTTGCACAACGCATCAGTACACTGGCAATAGAATCCGCCAATGTTGCATGGCGCTTGCAACCCAAAGCCGTGTTTCTTTCCAGAGATCCCTGATCCTGGAATAGATGAACAGCTAGTTCCAGGATCCCAATTTTGCTCCTTCCTGCGACAGGCGGATGAAGCAGTCACTGTGACCTTTCTGCCACTGTCGCTGGACTAGGTTTCACACTGGTCTCACTTGATGCACTACTTCCAGCACGTGTACAGATGACTCGGATGCCGAGCAGGAGGTGTGTCAAAAGGCAGCCGTGGACTCCTCGTGGTTTCGCTAGGACCAGGTGAAACAAGTTTTTCCGCTTGACAACAGCGGTGGCCTTTATGGGCGGTGATTAAAACTGATGGGACCTTGATGGGACTGATGAGGTACCCCGACGAAAAGAACTATACCTGGAGTCGGCGCATCATTGGACATGTGCGATGCCCTAGACTTCTGGGCTGCGATGGATCCAGCCAGGCTCTGAACAGAGAGTTTATGTGGAACAAAGGACGTCGACAATTTTTCCTTCACAGACTCAAGTGTATGACAGTGAATGTGTCCATATACAGAGAAAGAAGCAGGGACCAGGAACATCGATCTGTTTGCTTTGGGCTTTAGTTTTCCTTTGGCAAGATTCATCAGGGCTTGAAGCCGCCATGTCTGTCACGTCTCGTCGTGAATGGTGCTGGTACACAGAGCAGTTCTGTCCCGTTCAGCTCAAGCTTTGCTACGACGGAGAAGTCCAGCCAGCTATCAGATTATCCTGTAGTTTTGCTTTGATAGGGTAGAGGACGCTACTAGGAGCGAGGCATCGCTACGAACGGAGCAAGGACGCTACTAGGGGCTCCTGGCCTTACTACTAGTAGCAAGAAGCTACTAGTAGCTCCTGGCCTTATCCGTAGCTGCACCGGAGCTCAGGACACCTTGAGCTTCAATTCCTCCGAGAGCGGCTTCCGGTCTGGGTCTTAAGCGAAGAAGACCAGGGTGGATAGTGAATTGCATTCCCAGAGCTGTTCTCTTGTTCTTTTTGTGGTGGAGACAACCCTTCAAGTTCAGTTGCGGTAAACACCTCTTTCATTTCGCAGCCACGTTTTCGTGACCTTGTTTTCTTCATTTCGTCTGGAACATCGTTTCATGTTCGTTGTGGCACTGTGCAAGACCTTTTTTGGATCTTTCCCGCCAAAAAAGGCCCGGCTGGATCTACCTGAGCATCACCAGCGAGGTCCTGGCTGCCTACAACGTGCGCGCTTGGGGGCCGATCCTGGAGACTTGGGCACGAGGATGTCGACCTCGCTGATCCGGTCTTCCGGGAATCCCCGCAGAGAGGGGAAGAATCTGCTTTGAAAAGCTGGGGAATTGGTGGCCGAACCATAGTAGAAGAGTTTGATGTTTCCAATCTTCCAGATCTGCCTACTTGTCATATCAGTTGGGACCTTGGGACGTACGTTTGCCCTAGGTCGGTGGCCGAACCGAGGTCCGCTGGGGCACCCGGGCCGTCGAGCAGCTCGAGGTGTGCGAAAACGAAGACGGCGGCACGGGATGGGGCGAGGGTTGGAGGATCTATCCAGTGAAGGAGATCTCTCTCGGATCTTTTTTGTGTTTCTGTAAGTGCTTCGGAGAAGTGATGCAAGATGTTTCGAATGGAGAAGAGGTTTTGGGGCAAGATGCTTTGGGCACCTGAAGTCGGCAGGACGGAGATCCAAAGAAGAGTAGCGTGCAGACGAGGGCCTTGCGCTGGTTTTCTCTGGACGGGCTCGTGCAGAACTCAGGTGTCATGATGCTTTTCCTTCTCTACCATCATGCCTTTGGCCTTTGACTTTGTTTATGCTGCCTCCCAGAACTACTTCCAAGAGGAACAGGGGGTGTTACTCTGGACGTCTGATACGAAACCATGCAGATTGTAGGAAGCTACTAGGAACAAGTGCATCGCTATATACTAGTAACAGGTGCCTTACTAGTAGTAACAAGAAGCTGAAGCTATATATTAGAAACAAGAAGCTGTTAGTAACAAGTGCCACGCTAGTAGTAACAGGTGCCTTACTAGTAGTAACAAGAAGCTACTAGTAACAAGAGTCATTTGTTCTCAGGATCTGTCCGGCCGTCGCCCTGTCTCTCTTGTGGCACAAGCGCTGGCTGGGGTCCCAAATATGAAATCGCATCTAGGTATGAAGGGACAGGGACGTATGATGTATATACTATATACATTAATATACAGTAACGTGTATATATCAACCGACAACCAAACAACAAACAAGAAGCAACAAACAACCAACAAGCAACCAACAAAGAGCAAAAAACAAAGAGCGAAAAACAAAGAGCCAACAATGTACACAATCGTTTGACTAGCTGATTCGATTCCCTGTGGCTTATGGCCTTCAGTATGTGGATGTTTGTGTACAAAAATACCAGTTTCTTGTCATGAAACATTCCTCAGTCCTCTACTCCAAATCACACACGATCAAAAGAAATACGGCAAACACATGCTTACCGAGCACTGCACCTGTGTAGACCAGGTAGTTTAGGGTTCTTTTTATAAAGAAGGAGCTGCAAAAGAAACCTCGAGAAGGGTGCTGATACCGGCTTTGTTGGTGATCCTTTTGATGCTTGGAAATCCTAGGGCCCTAGGGCAAGCACTTTTTGAAGCTTTGAATGCTGCAGACTCAACGAAAGATTCCTTTGGACTAGGACATTCGCTTGTCATTCAAAGCCCTGGCTCCCTAAATCTTCCAGGGAGCTTGCAGCCAGTGGATCTATGTACAAGAAGAGTATGGGCATGGTCGGTCTACAACCACTTGTGATTCTACACCTACAGCTTTTGCCGCTGTTTGAAGCTCATCAAATCAATTTGCACGGGAGAATAGACACATCAATTGGTTTGGAACCAAAGAGCCCAGCCAGGATGTTTTAGGATGATGTGGGGCTTGTGATAGAGATTTGAACAGCTACTGAACCGTGGCATTTTTGAGCGCCATGGGCTCTTGGAATTGACATGTGAGGACTTCCCTTTTGGGCTAATTGGCAAGGGGCAAAGTTTCATGCGCACCGTTCCCAAATAGATTTGTGTAGATCATTGTAGATCGTCGATATTTTAAACGTTAATATTTGCATGTTGGATGTAGACAGTCAAAATATCCCCACTTGATTGAACTCATGGTCAGATAGCTAGAACTTGTAACATCATACGTTACTAAACCTTTGTCCCAAATCACCTTTACCCTAGAGCCCTAGGGTTTTGAGATGTTTTGATACGTGGTTTCTTTCATTGCAGTTGCTTTGGCTCAAAACTGACAGCCAGCAGCCCGTACCCCTAAGTCTCGCCTAGCGATGCCGGAGCCGGAACTCGATGCTGAGGAAAGCGCCAAGGAACGTTTGGATGAGAATTGATGGCTTCATCGACATGAGAATCCATTTCTCACAATTGATATTGATTGATAACCATTTTTGAAGTTCTTATTATGAATGATTTGTTGGGACACCTTGGATGAACCTGTTTGATTTTTTTTGCCCAAGAAGTCAATCAGATTGCACCGACACAACCTGGCAAAAGGCAGATTCAACGTAGAATGTTATTCCCTGCATGCAGTCATGATCGTTTTGAGACGAGCCAAAAAGGTTTTTCTCCCTGAAGGGTCACCAAACCTCCAAAGTTGCACCAGAAGATGGCGTCATGGTGAAGCGTGTCGCTGAGTACTTGCCAGAAAAGCGAGTGGATAAGACTGGGAATCCCAAGGCTGGGGATTGCCGAGGGTTTAGTGGGGATCGGATATATGGTAAACGTCCCGTAGTTTAAAACGAAACACCGTTCGCGTTCTTGATCGCAGTGTTTCGGCCTCAGCTGCGGATGAACCACCGCTCCCGCGATTGCGCTTGCTCCGCTTGCGCAGCGCTGGGGCGTGTGGCAGCGGTTGTGGTCGACGAGGAGACGAGTGGGGCACACAGGGACTACATCGCCAAGGTCCTTGAACGTGCCTACACTAAGATCCTTGAGCGAGGACTGGAGCTCTTGCGTGAGGAGCGCAGAGCTGAGGGTGACAGAGGGGCTCCTGGCCACGGGGAGCCGGTGATTGGGCCTGCAGAGCCACCTGCAGGTTCAACAAGTGAGGTCAAGGAGGAGAAGGCCGAGTGCGAAGAGGAAGCGCCAAAAAAGAGGAAGAGGAGGAAGCGCCGTCCCAAAGAGGAAGAAGAGAAAGCCACAGAGGAAGAAGAGAAGCCCGCAGGTGAAGAGAAGAGAGCAGAGGAGGAAGTAGCAGCCGACAGCCCAAAAGCATCAGAGACTCCTGGTCCATCCACTGAGGGAGTCAAAGAGCCTAGTGAGAGAGATCCCCGAGCACCTCTACCTCGTAGTCCAAAGCCCAGTACAAATCCTGCTATCTCGTTGAAGGAGAAGAAGACAAAAGGTGGGTGTGCAGCAGAAAACGAGGGCGAGCCGAGGCTGAGGTTGAAGCCAAAGGCCAAGGGAAGACCCAGAAGGTCGAGAAGCCGCTCCAAAGCCCGTGATCAGAAGGACAAGAAGAAGAGGAGGAGTCCAAGCCCGAGGGACGATCCAGCAGGGGGAGATAGGGGTGTCTCCTCGTTTCCAGGTGCAGAGGCCGGCGAAGAAGAGGCTGAAGAAAGAGGACCTCCTGGAAATTGGGAGGAGAGGCCGGAGCTTGCAAGAAGGCCCAAGTCACCAGATCATCCTCCTCCTCTACCACGCCGACCCAGTAGAGGACAGCTGTGGATTGGGCCCATCAGAGCACACAAGAACAGACCACCGCCCAAAAAGAACAAAGGGGTGAAGAAAGACTTAAAGAATCAGAGGTATTGGGAACGGAGGAGGCAGCAGGCTTGGGAGGAGCGGCAACGTGCTTACAGAGGGTATTACCGACGGTGATGCCCCCGAGGAGGAGACCAGCAGCCGCTGGTGAGAGAGTGGGCGCCTTGAGGAGGCCTGCAGCCGCTGGTGCACGAGAAGGAGGCGGTTGGGAAAGAGCGGGAGAGGTAAGCAGTGATACTCTCCTGGGGTGGCAATGGGTCCATCTACGCGGCAGATATTGGGACGAGGAGGTCGAGGTCATTGGCAAGGTTATGGATATCAAGAGAAAGGACACAGGCCGGGAAATTCTTTTGAAGGCCAGTGGGACGCCATCGGAGAGCCTACTGAGAGCATTGAGTGGTGCGCCAAGCCGGCAGTTGAGGGTGCGCCTCTGCCCGGACCCCTGTCCTGCACTGGTCTGGGAGGAGGCTTACCTTCATTGCAGCCAAGTGCGCGAGGTAGAGCGAGGGAGCCTGGGATGGAGCCAGACTCTCGAGGCGGCTGTGGAGAAGGAGGACGACGACGAGCTGCGTCAGCTTCGGGCCAGTGCAGAGGAGTTGAGACTTCGTGGAAAAGGAGTAGGGGGCCAAGCAGAGAAGCCAAAGAAGAAGGAGGTGTCTCCTGGGTCATCGGGAGACGAGGCCAAGAAGAAGAAGAAAAAGAGGAAGAGGGCTGCCTCCCGAATCCAGGCCAGGAAGGGTCTGGACAGCCTGTATGGCACTACGGGGCTCGACCCGAAGGCAGAAGTCCGCCGGAGGGTGAAGAAGAGGGCCCGTCGAGTAGCTCGACGGACCCGAAGCAAGAAGCGGGGGAGCTCATCATCGGATGGCAGCAGCAGCTCGAGCTCAAGCCCGGAGAGTTGCGAGGTGGACGACAAAGACCTGTTCGAGCCCGCTACATCAACGCAGAGGGTGTGGAAACAATGCCCAGGCGTATTGACCATGACGATGATTGCCGAGGCAAAGGAAGCTCTCCTGAGCCAGATGGGCACCCCGGGCGAACCTATGGATGGCGCGGTGCCTGCAATAGCTACCCAGTATGTTCGACAGATATTGATGCCAACAATGAGCGGCCCGGTGGCACGGGAGCCCCATCATTGGGGACTCCTGTTGGACCTGTTGTTGACCGGCCAGGTAGCCGCCGCAGCAGACCTGGGAGCCCAGCGTCTCAAGGCGTTGGAGGGACACGCCAAGGGCATGAAGCCAGAGTTGCTGAGGCAGTTGGAGCTGGTAGCGCAGGAGAGGCCGTCATTGAGCAGTGCAACCGAGATCATGAAGGCGGGTCGACAAGCCAGCGAGGAGCAGAAGGTGCTTCAAAAGGCGAGTGTTCGAGATGGGCAGGACAAAGGAAAAGGCCAGTGGAGCGAATGGAGGCCAAGATTCGAGAAGGGCGAGAAGGGCGGAAAAGCAGACAAAGGAAAGAAGGCCAAGGGCGAGGGGAAGAAGAAGGCTACATAGATGCGGGCTTCAGCAACGCGGGCTACAAGGAGGAGAACTACAGTGGCTTTGAGAGTGGGCTTTCACGGGAGGGGCTCAGTGGCAGGGCCTCTCCTGGTATTTGGGACAGTGGCGCAAGACAACATGGTGCTCCTGGAGGCGCCCTGGCTCCTGGTGGCAGGGAGCTGGGGAAAGATCAAGGGAGCGTGGTTTTTGACGAGGTCGAGGGTGCGCCTACAGCTCGACTTTCGAAGTCTCACGAAATTGATGATGGTTTTTTCCAGCAGCATCCCCAACCTGGGACTACAGGACTTCTACATGGAGACACTGGGACCGGGGTTGGAAGTGACCCGCTGCATCCTTCGAAGCCGCCTGGTACAGCTGAGGTATTTCGCAGGGCCTTGGGCACGATGATGTGTGACGACAAGATGCGCTCCAACATGGGCAAGGCTACCACCATGGCTCAGGGAGACCTACTGCCTCTGCCCGTGCCCCAGGACGACCTGCAGCTGGCAGCGACCGTTGCTAGCCTGAACCATCTGGGAGGCTGGAACAACCCGCCTCCCGGAAGTGTCACCTCAGACCTTCAGCAGTCGGCTTTGAAAAATTTGTGCGAGCTGGTGCATAGACATCGCATGTGGAGCATAGGTGAACATGACATTTGCTTTGACGATTTCTTTAAAAGAAAGTCGGTTGATTACCTGGGTGACGAAGTGAAAGTTGCAATGACGGTGAACTGGCGTGCTGTGTGTGACTCTTTCCCCCAAGAAGTAGGTTGCCTTGAACTGGAGCGGTTTTGTCGGCTTGGAACCCTGGAGTACGTGAATCAGTTCGAGGACTTCCTTTTACCCCCAGAAGATTGGAAGTATGTGAAACCGCCTAGGGTTATGGTGGAAAAAGA